ATTTTTTTCTTTCTTTTTCCCTTTCTTTCTCTGTGAACACCAATGCTAATAATACTTATTCAATATTTACAACGATACGATCAACAGCTAAGTATGGATTGTTCGTGAGTCAGGTTGAATGATATGGCATATCAAAGACTGCTAAGTCATTGCGTACCAAACTACGGTTTTACCTTGACAACCAAATCCTTTTACGCGTCTTTCCATCGTTTTACTTTTGTTGTCTTTCTATTGGGGTTAAACAGTTTCTCGTACTGACAAATATTTTACATTCGAAAGAAAATATCTAAAGAAAATTAAACGAAATAAATTATAAAATATAAAAATATCCTTGCTACTGATACTGGATATAGGATTACGTAATACCGTTTGTTATAGGAAAGCATTATTGAATAAAAGAGAACATTTAAAAACGATGAAAGCAAAAACTTAAAGACTTTTTATAATGACAAATATTTATATCAATAAGTTATGTTTATATCTAAATTTTGTATATCAGAGAAAATATATCTACCTATCTCTATCTCTTTTTATCTAAATTTTCAAAAAAGTGAAGATTTAATTAATAATAATATTTTATATAAACATTTTACCAAATAATATCATATTTTACAAGTATTTGCGTAATAAATTTTAATGTTTATGACACTAGCTACCAACTGCCGTCATGGTAAAGAATAAGATTGAAAACTTAACATGAATAGAAACGTGAAGTATAATAATTAAAACCTAAAATAAATAATTGCAAGATCGGTATGAAATATCAAATTTTAATAACAAATATGTCGAGAATCGGATATACGAAATTAAAAGTTATACGGCGTCTATCTGTTCGCTTTTATTTGGTAAAATTTTGGGGAAAAAAAATAGGAAATGCGTGCGACCCCAATGATATCCAGGATATGTATTTGTAAATGTATTCGATTACGTTCACATTCATGCTCAGAAGAGGTTGAAGAGAAGCCCGTCCTGCAGTTAGAACAGCAATCGAGCGACTCTCATACAGAATGATTGATGACTTCATTGTGCGGGCTTTCCCATGTCCCTGCTATGATTTCGTACGCGCAGCACACAAAAAGAGCCCAGCGCCATTTCGAAAATGGGCGGAATTATGGAAAATTCAGGACGGAAGATCGATCGGGCGGTACCACTCGCGATGAGATTTCATCGTGTACCGATATCTCTACCCGATTCCGAAATTCAGACCTTACGTTAAAAGACACAAATCAATGAGAATAAGAAATTTTCAACGGAACTTCAATTCATTGGCTTTCTATGATTTTCTTATTGTCGAATAATAGAATGCTATTGTAAAGAAAACATTTACTACCACGGGTAACACGGTTTTTCCTTATTTTTATATTAGATAAAAAGTATTCGTTGCAACACCTGAAAAATCATTTCTTTCTCAAATTCACACGAAGATAATATTGAAAAGTTATGAACACGCATTTTAACAGTATAGTGACGTTTGACTAGGAACGTTTACAAATATTGTCAATGAATTGTTAGAAATTAAACAATAAAATTCGTGGTCCCTTCGAAATTTATACGCGCCCTTTTTCGACTAAAGAAGAAGAAAAAAAAAAACGCGCGTTTATTTTATTCTCATGGGTGTTCCTTGCTTTCTTGACATTCCAACTAGAAATGAAGAAGAAGAAGAAGAGGAAGTTCTTCTTTTCTAATTCATCGAGATTGTAACATCGACGTTATTCTTGCAAAAAAACTTACAATGGGCTACCAACTAGATTTTATAAAGGCGAACCTTTATGATTTCCTCGTGAAAGAATCTTGTGGTCAATACTTGACAGACAGCTGTCCATCGGGAATAACTACCACCCGCTGAATTGTTATGATTTGAAGTTTTGAACATAAAGAAATCAAATGGGGCTTAAAGAAATGAATGGGACTTAAGAAAAATGACTTTAGAAAAATTGATGCAATTATGAACATTACTTCTCTCTTTTCGTATTGAGTTTGCCAACAAGCGGATATAAATCATTGTTGATATGAACAATTTATATTACTAATGCCTTCTTACGTAAAATCGACAAATTTTTCTTGTTAAAAGATTTTCTGTCACTATAAATTTGCTAACTCATTAACTTCGAGACTGATCTACTTTATTTATTTAACCGGTGTTAATGTTTACTGTATAACATGTTATTTCAAATGGATAGGTTCGATATCATAAACAAATTTTAAAAGAGATATCATTTGTTAGTATAATGACAGAGAGAAGAGATTTATCGACTCCGATACAAATTAGCGTGAGAAAGCAAATAGGTAGAAAAATAAATACAAATTGAAGAGTAAAAAATATAAATAGAAGAAAGAACGAAAGGAACAGAATCGAAAAAAGAAATGAATTACAAGAGCAACAACAACAACAGCAGGAGCAACATCGGCAGCAGCAGCTACGAGGACAACTGCAGTTCGGAATGACAATGCAGGTGCCCCATCCCATGTCAAATCCCAGCGTGGCGCCAACACGAGATAGGTACCAGACCGAACTCCTCCGACTGCTCTCTAATTGTTTAAGAGGATTAGCCCAAAACGTTTATCCATGCTCCAAGAAGAAAAAGATGCTGATATTTATCCCAGTATTAGACTCGACTAAACTCGAATTTACTACTTCTTATCCCTGAAAATTCTTTTTAGAAGTGTTCAACCGGCAAATCATACACCTCATCTCCTCCCACTACTCGAACGAGATCACCTTTTAAATCCAAGTCAAAATCCTTTCCTACAAGACGAGATCAACAATCGGAGATTCTTTCCCATCGAATTTAACTCGCTAAATTTGACATCGCGAATACAAATAAACAATGCTAATTAATTCTTATCAATATTTAAACAATCACGATTTGTAAAAATACAATTACAATTAATTGGTATAGACCACAAATGTTAAAACAATAAATGGCTCGAACAAATTGTAACGAATAATGCAAGAAATAATCACTCGAAAAGAATTCAGGTTGTTCGTAACGTGGGATCGTGAAATTTGTGATGACCTTAAAAAAGATACCGTGGGATTCTAAAATACGCGTGAACGCGTTGAATTAGAGGTATCGTAACTTGATGTAGAGTCGATCAAGATGAAGATTCTTCGAGCTGATAATCGAAACAAGGCGGATGTCGCGGGTGGCCATAAGTGGCGCCCTCGATATAAGCTTGTCTGACTGAACCGCTGATACGAGAAACCGCGCTTCTTAAACTCTCATGGTGGAATGTGTCATCCTGTCACTGAACCCACATGGGGTAGAAAACGTCTCGTGGGCCCGTCAAAAGGTGCCCGATCGGTCGAACTTTTACCCGCTCACCAAAGGGAACCAGGAATGTCAATTGGACGTATTACGAATTCGAATGTAACATTAATATCTTATATAGTGATCACTAAACTTATATTTATATTTCTAACTTCTTCATTATTCTATATATTAGCTACAAAATAATAAGAAATTTAATATTCTTCTAAGCCTGATTTTAATCCTTATTACACAAATAAATTAATAATCTAATCTATTGAAAGATCTTTTTGATCTGTGTTACAAGGTTGCGTTAGGTAATTGTAGTCAAATCACATCTACTTAATTATAAACAAAAATTAATTAGGTAAATTTATAATAAAATAGATAAATAAAAACGTAATTTCCAATACTAGCAAGTTAAGACGAGGCTTCGAATTACAAATCAATCTATAATATTTCTAGATTAAATTAATTCTAATAACATTGAATAGAACTTAAAGTTATAGTTTTATAATAAAAACAAGAAATCATTCGTTAAACGTAATAAGAAAGGAAATAAAAGATGAATCGTAATTTAATGACCAAACATCCAAGTATCATCCAGGTTCATTGTATTTAGGAAGAATTAGTAATTAAATGGTTTACATGAAAGAACATAGGACATTGTTGGAAGAAAAAAGACAGGTGAGCCACGTATGCTAGCAGATAAATCCTTGGAAAATAAGGAAAAGGGATGAGCGCGTTACCCTAAAGGAAGAAGACTACATAGGTAGACCAGTATAAAGTGTGACAGGGAGGTAGACTTGCCTTTGGACAGACTCTTTCTCTTTCCCTCTCTCTCTTTCTACAAAAGGTGGGTACCGATATATAATATCCGACTACCTAGCTCGGCTGTGCGATAAGTGTCAACTGCAGCGCGGCAGATAAAAAGAATGAACGGAAAATAAAATCCACCGCGGGTGATCCATCATGCGGACGCGAACTTGGGACGCGCAGACTCGTACTTGATTGGTTGGTACCGCCCATGTGGTACCACGTGACCCTCATTTAAGCAACGCCCATGATACTAGGTAGCCGCCTGAAGCTAGCCACGTTCTCTGCTCCAAACGTATCTGCCCTGAACAGGGGGAAAGTCTGGGGAGCCTGAGCGAGAGAAAGAACAAGAGAAAAAGAGAGAGAGAGAGAAAGAGAGAAAGAGAAAAAGAGAGAACTTGGACACAGCTAAACTCTTCGGGTCAGTCTCACCTGCGTGCAAGCTACGACCTAGCCAGTCCAGTTGAGCGGGCCTCGTCGTTCACATCGACTCGTGCATACTTTCTCCACATAATCACTAATCGACGCTTCCCACATTTTATTCTTAACTATTCTGATGCAACACCAATTAACATCCAAAGTGTTTCATTTGACCATTCATAAGAAAAACATATGTTTTAATAAATTTGTCTAACCGCAAGATATCTTATTGAATTACAGTGTAACTACAACTAATCGGAGACATTGTGATACTGATAAAAAATCGACTATCCAAAGTGTTTTATCTAACTGAATAAATTGTTATATCTCGAATCGATAATTAGAACGTATTTGACTAACGTGTCTCGTACGATAGCGTACTTATCGTTCCCGATCTTATAATTTTATTATGTTGACAATGTACTGACAAAAAAACATTGCAAAGCTATTATTTTTATATATTTTATAATGAAAAATTGAAAATATTACGATGTAGTAGTCGATGAGTGATATCGGATGAACTTGTAAAGAACTTTAAATTTATAATTAATCTTTCGATTGTGATAAATTAAGATTAAATTCAATTAATTAGACTCTCTGAAAGTGTTATCTAAGTGTTGTTGAGCTATAACGATGTAGAGAACAGTTGAGTTCTCTATGTTGAAGAACTTCTAAGACTTTTATTTTCAGTCGATGTGAACAGTGAAGAATAACGTGGTGGTGGACTGTGAGTCGTTGATGTATTCGTTTCATCGCCAGAAGGATGATGATGATGGACATGGGCATGTACGGGACCTACGGTAAGCCAGATTCATATCCCAACTACGTGTTTGCCGGTCAAGGGAATCACCATCATCAGACTTCTACCGTCGGTGGTCATGTGTCTGTACCACCATCGCCTGATCTTGCGCCAGGTCATTACTATCCTCAGACTGCAGTGGCTCCTTACTCATCTTCATCATCCGAGAGTTTCTTGACTGCGGAATCTGGTGCTTCGTCGAGTACACCACCTCAAAGTTTCTACTCGCCGACGGGAGCTGTACTGCACGAGGATGGTACCACAACGGCAATCATTTCGTCAGAGAACGGCTTAAGTTATACCAATCTTGATTATGCTTCTTCCTCGACATACTCTGGTCAACAACCGCAACAACAACAACAGCAACAACAACAACAACAGCAGCAACAACACCCACAACAACACGCAGGATCCCATGGCTCGAACGAACCCCATCAAAGTTACCATGTACAGCAAAACACCTTCAGAGAGGATCATCACCATCATCACCACCACCACCACCATCATCCTCCGAGTCTTCATCAAACAGCTACCCTACAAACCCATCAAAGAACGGAAATTGATTTGCACCAACCAACCTCTAGTCATCATCATCATCATCATCATCCTTCTCATCATCGACACGAGCCTGAATATCAGATACCAATCGGTGCTACTCCTAATTACGTTCACCAATATGAAGATTCTCTTCATTATCATGCACCAATCAGACAGAACGAGTTCCCGGGACATCCTACGGGACATTACAAAGAAGAGAATCGTGATCCAACATCTTATCACGCTCTCCCACAAGCAGGACATTCCCAACAACAGCAACAACACCCTCATCCTCAGCACCCTCATCATCAGCAACACTCTCATCAGCACCAACAGCAACAACAACAGCAGCAGACTCAAGTACCTACTTACAAATGGATGCAGGTTAAAAGAAACGTTCCCAAACCTGTTGGTAAGTTTTCCTTTCTATTTTCAAGTAGGTAATTAACATTCATTCGAAATTAGTCAAATGATAATAATAACACATAAACACAATCAAGATAATAGTAATAATTTTTAATATAGAACATACGAAGCTCAATAAATAACAATTTTATTCAATCATTAAAAGCTAATGTTCGATAAGCAAAAATTAAATCAAATGAATAGTTATAAAATTCTGTTATTTTATAACTTAATTGCATATCTGTCTCTGTAAGTTTAAATAATCCATTGTGATAATTATAAAATATTATTTAATTGAACGGAAACAGCGCGCGCGCGATTAAGAAACACCGCAAGATTTACAATTATATATTTAACTTACATACGTATAATAATATGATATACCTATATATAATTCCTGATAGGTTTTATATAACGACGAATATAGGTGGATGTTTATACTAATACACATACTTGCATCAAAGAAACGAATAAAAAAAAAAACAAAAAAACACGTAAGAAACGATACACAAGCGTAGCAAATCGTGCATAATGAATCGATAATTACGAAAGACATGTTATTTTAAATTGACAATATTGGAAACATATAATTCGCAGATTATTCGAAGTTCACTCTATAATACAAAAGAAATAACATTTTGATTCCCATTGAAATTTAATCTCATTTGCAATTAATATTAAAATTGAATTAATACTGAAAACTTTAAATCACATTTGTTTCTTTTATTGTAATTAAAAAAAAGAAAAGAAATATAACATAGAAATGATTGTCATAAATTAACATAAACTTTGAAGATTTAACGTTCCTCACACTACGGAAAAGGAATAACTCGTCACAATTTTATTCTTAGAATTATTTATAAATCACGCAGGAGATGTAATTTACATATATTTATTACTACCAAAAAGAAGAGAGAAATCAACGAAACGTATGTACGTCACATTTCACTTGTGCGTCAATCTTAATTGAACTCGCCACCCAAGTGAAAAGTTCTCTTTAGAATCGGTCGATTAGAGTTCGTATATCGCGTTTGTACATGAATTCATGTAAAGTATTCTCAACGAGACGCGATTAGGTCATGTCGTTAGTTAAATCGAGAACACGAGTCGAAATCATGCTTCCAAGAACGTAAAGCACCTCGTTCTTGAACTTCTAAACATTCTATCATTGCATTCTTGACATTATATATTATTTTCCAAAGACAAAAAAAATAAAATAGAAAAAAATAATGAAATTTTTAAAATAATAGTAAAATATTTCTTCTAATATTTTCTTAATTTTTGTAATAAAAAAAACAACAACAGAATACTCAGACAAGGAATACACACAATTTTTAAAACAATCAAATAAATATCTCTTCTAATATTTTCTTCTTTTCTATAATAAAAAAAACAAGTAAGAAAATATATTTAGACTGTAGTGAAAGTTTGTATAATAATATAATATATTTCTCCTAATACATATCTTTTTAATTTTTATGATTAACAAAAAAAAATACTCACTTATACGTAATTAAAAAATGTGAACAAAAATAATAACAAAAAAATTTTCATAATTTCTATAATTAAAAATAAAAAAAAATATATATATCCACGTGTAATAAAAATAATGAAATGATATATTTAAAAAAACATTATTATTAATGATCTACAATCATAGCTTAACATTATCACGCCAAACAGTTTGACTACCGTTTACGCCTATGCGACACTCGTAAACGTAATAGATAAGATTATGCACACGAAACGAGGAACAGAAGATACTCGAGGTTTACGAGAATGTCCTACCCAGTACAATCATAAATCAAGCGTGGAAGCGCCGCTCGTTGAATTACTATCTCTCATATACAAACGTTTGCTTACGATAGATCTCGATACTTTTCAAAAAATTCAAAGACATATATGCAACATAAATTTATTTCAAACGCTATTTTTTAATCGTGTTTACAAGCACAAGTACAATAAAAAAAATTATTCTTTTTTTTTTTTTTTTTTTTTAAATATTTATCACATGATTCTTTTCTTTTTTTTTTATATAATATATAAAAAATATAAAGGCATGTACCAGATAATTTAAATAATTTTTACATATATCTATATATAATTTATTTAAATCTTTTTTTGGACTCCTATATTTTCATTTAACAAATTTACGTAATTGTATTCTTAACGTTAATCACCTTGTTTGTAAATACCAAAGATTTTTAATCACACAACGACAAATTTACTAACATAAAAATATAACAAACGTGGTAGCCAAATTCTACGTGTCGATAAATAATATAAGACGATAACTAATACGATAAGATTTGCCATTGCAAAGGGAATTCATGAACCTAAATTTGTCTGACGAAATCATGACCGTTCAGAAAATAAAACTTTATGCTGATAACGATAAGGTTACTATACTCTCTTTGATGTTTTTAGGAAAAAAATATATTATATACGCGTATTGTGTATTATTCGTTTAACGAATAACGTTTTAACATTAAATAAAATAAATAATCAATTTTTCAACGATCATAACTAAAATTTTTGATAATAAAATTTATGCTGTTTAAAATACATTTTTTTTGTTTGTTAAAATTGTCAATAATTCTCCAAAAAAAAAACAAATAATTATTTTGAATTTCATATTACTTCGAAATATCCAGATTTACAATATAAAAGATAATAAATAGAATATCTGCATTAAAAACATCTCGATCAAAATGAAATAAACTTTTTTATCGATCGATGTTTAGATAGATAAGTAGTTGGAATATCAAAAGGAAATACGTAATCATTAACACAAAGTAATAACGAGTAATCAAATGATTTCTACTAATTATCGATGAGAAAAAACTAACATAGGATAATATTAAGATATCGGAATTAAATATTGAATGGAACAGAACCGGTTTAGATTTATATACGTCAAATCTGAAACGTACACTCACACATTTTTTGTCGCGATTACGTATACGTAAATTAGAATTAAATTTCTAATTGTTACTTTTACAAACGCGTACAATAAATAAATAAAAATATATAAAAGAGTGCAAAGTTGTCCTGCAAAAATATTTTCTATCAAACGTAGCAATGTGGAATAGAAAAAAATTAAAACATAACTTTACTTATTAAATAAATTTCTTAACGCGATAAATTAACTGTTCGATGATTAAGTAGTTTTGAACATTTTTATTCGACGTATCATTAAAACATGAAACATGTCAAACAAAAAGAAATATACAGGCAGTCGACAAGGCCTATTAAAAATCTGAAATTTAGATGATAAAATAATGTGAAACGCGAAAAATAAATACTTAAAGAAAAAACACAAAAATATGTAATAAAAAATATTTTTTAAATAACAGTAAAAGATCTTTAAATCTTTATTTAAAGAAATAAATGAAGTATCGAGCGTGGAATTCTTTGAAATAATTATTAATATTTTGTACACAACGGATTAAGCCGGGTATCAGAAAGCAACTGTGAAAACGTCAGAATCGATGTTAAGCAAGAAATGAGACATCTTAAAACACTAGACCGGTTCCCCTAACTTCGCATTAACTTGCTCGAAAGATACGGGACAGCAATGTAAATACATGTATAACCGTCTAGCATGCTTTTCTCCTAGAAGTGAAAGAGAGCGTTCTCGTTCAAAGCTTGTTAAATGGAGCTTGTCGGAGTTAGGTACCGGCACTACGCTTAATAGCTCATTATAATCGAATTAATAACAGCAGCCTGAGAATCGAGAAGGGTGAGAAGCACCAATTGCCGCGAAACATGCAAATCCTACTGTGATTTTCTCAACCCTCTCTTATGAAACCCCTAACTTCATCGCTCTATCTTTTACTCTTTCACGCTATTACCCACTTCATTTCAAATCTTTACGAAATTACTTCTCCTATGATCACTTGAATTTTTCTACCCTTAAAAAAAAGCTTATTTCTACGAGCTAATTTAACTTTTATTTTTATTTACTGTATTTTAAGAATTAACTTGTATATAGAACTATCTGATGTATGCAGAGGAGGAATCATTGAAAATTTGGTTACTCAATAATTTCCTATTATTAGTAATCAAATTATATGATTGGCATTGTGTAATATAGATAATTACACGAAAAATTGAAATATTATTTATGTAGATATACGGGGATAAATTAAGTTTTAAGCCTAACATAAAAACCATTTTATTTTATTTTGCAAACAAAATTAAGCTTTGCCTTTTCAACGGACCCTCGTACATAGAATTCTGACATAACATTCAATTACATTCTACAGAACAAAGATGCTACTAATCCAAGAATTTCATTTAAAAAAAAAACAAACCAGCAGATTAATTAAAACTTAACAATGGAAATAGTATAAAAACAAAAAAATTATTAATAATTATAATGAAAGAGTGTTAGATTCGATAAAAAAAAATAAGAGGATGGGCGTGGTCAGGAGGAAGATCTGGTGGGAAGACTCTGGTAGATTTTGGTTGGTTAAGTTTTTTGGTTGGCGGAGATCTCACAATACCTCTCGTTTTCCCCTTCGTCAGTCTAGACCTTGTCGTACTCGTATACACGAACCAGGGGGTCCAAAAGACAGAAGACTTCTGGAGGGACGCCTAACTCCATGATGCTTCAAGGGCTGCTACGAAAAGGGGCTGCTGCTGCCTTGGGGACACTTGCGCAGGGTTCCCGACAAAAAAAAATGGAATGAGCGTCGCAACACTGTCAGCCTTTGCCAACCGATCTATCATACTAAACTCGATTTCTTTTCTCAGACGATGCGCTCAATAGCGGGATTGCTAATATCGAGAGAAAGAGAAAATGCGGAGACAAATAAGTAGTCGTGTGCAAAAAAAAATCTACTCGGATGTCTAATTTTTCTTTTTTCCTATCCAACAACGAGATTCTTCGTCCTTGTTTTTTTTTACAATCTAATCCAAATAATTTTTTTCGATTACTCATTTTTATACCGAAATGAAAAAATAATTAGGATTTTTGTTGAGGCTCACAACAATTTTCTAATC